TAAGATATATTCTGTTATATTATGGATCTGTAATGTCGCCCTAAGCCAGCAATAATCAGAGGTAGCACTTTTGGGAAGTGTTTAGGTCATAAGGGCTCTGGCCTCATCAGTCGAGTAATCCATTGATGGGTTCATAATTGAATACACCATTGGGAGGTGTTGGAAATTGTAGAAGGTGGGGCATAGTGGGAGGAAGGAAAGCACTGGAGGCATGTGCTGGCAGGGTATATCTTGTCCCTGACCCCTTCCCTCATCTCTCTACTTTCTGGCCACTATGAGGCAAGCAGCTCTGCTGTGCCACATGCTCTGCATCATGATGTTCTGCCTTACCAAAGGCCCATAGAAATGGGGCCAAGTGACCATGGACTGAAACATCTAAAACCATAGCCAAAGTAAGTCTTTTCTCCTTTATGCTTATTTTCTCAGGTTTTTTGTCATAGTAATGGAAAGCTAATCAACACATTCATATACATAAAATTCAAGTGTATAATCAATGATTGTAATGTATTTACAGAGTTGTGCATCTATCACAAGTGAATTTTTAAATATTTTTGTGATTTCCAAAATAAACTCTGTACACTTTAGTTAACATTCTTCTTACCCTTCATTCTCCCAGCCCTAAACAACTACTGCTCTATGTTCTATCTTTGTATATTTTCCCTTTTCTAGATATTTCATAAGACTGATATCATATGTGGTGATTTGTAATTGATTTCTTTCATTTAACAAAGATTTGAAGGTTCATTAATTTTTTAGCCTACTTCATTATTTTATTCCTTTTATGGATAAAATAGATTCTACTGTATGCACATACACCAATTGTCCATTCATTGGTTGGTTATGTTGGTTGTTTTCACATTTTGAATATTATGAATAGTACTGCTATGAGCATTAGTGTACAAGTTTCTGTATGGATTTGTTTTCATTTCTCTTATGTATATACCTAAGAGTGGAATTGCTGGGTCATATGGCAATTCTGTTTTTAACATTTTGAGGAAATGGAAAACGGACACACAATTTTATAGTCCCATAGGAGTGTATGAGTCTTCCAATATCTCCATATTCTCTTAAACACTTATTATCTGATTTTTTATTCTAGCCATCCTAGTGTGTGAAGTAATATCTTGGTGGTTTTAAATTCCCAAAGATTAATGAGTTCAACTACTTTTTTCATAAAATCCTTTATTTCTAATGGCATTTAGGGAAGGATGGTCCCCCAACTGTTTGACTGTATAATACAGTTAACTAGAAACATAATTCATTTTAATCATGTGAAAGGAAAATTTTATTTTCTTCTAAATACTTGTAAGCAATTTATATGTTTACAATCTCAGGTTTTTATCTACACTGTCATGGTTTAGATATTAGTTGTCCCCAAAAAGTTCCTATGTTAATGAAGGAATATTTAGAAGTGAAATGATTAGATTATGATAGCTGTAACCTAATTGGAACATTTTAGTTTGAATGGACTGAGTGTTAACTATAGGCAGGAGATGCATGACTGAAGGAAGTAGGTACTGGAGATGTGCCCCACAAGGATTTGCCTTTGCTGCAGCAGCCCACCCTCCTTCCCTACTCCCCTGCTTTCCCCCTCCCTCCCTACTTCCTTCCTTCCTGGCTGCCATGAATGGGTGAATGGATCAATGGATCAGTGCTCCTCCACCTCCTCCACCATACCCTTCTGCCATGATGTTCTGCTTCACCTTATACCCAGAGTCATGAACTTAGTGGACCATGTACTAAACCTCTTGAACTATGGCCAAAATAAGTTTTTTATCCTCTACATTTTTTCTGTTAGGTATTTGCATCACAAATATGCAAATTTGACTGACATACACATGTACAGTTTACTACTTCTATACTTTTTTTCATTTGTATTTTCTATGTAATTACAAGAAGACAATATTGTGCACTGAATTTTGTAAGGTTATTTCTTGAATGAAGTTGGGGAAGGAATTGAATGACTCCTCAGTGTTAAAAGGCAGAGCAGAACAGATTGTCAATTTATGCTCACTGTTTTTAATCGCCAATGCTATATACCTGTGTTCTGCATGTGTTTCTTGTATGATAAATATCATGGGAATATGATTGACACAGCCTACATAGCATATCACCTGAGAGATGGACTTTTAATCTTAATATAAAAGATGGGGAACACTGCACATGTCAAATGATAATTATGAAAGTTGAGTATAGGGTGCATGGGGAGTTTTATTGTTTAATCCATCCCTATGTTTAAACATTTTTGTAATAATCTTTTTAAAAGAGAAAATGTTGACTTCCTCATAAGGAGAGGGAAAGACCAAAAAGAATGGTTGACAAGGTTGGGACAATCTGTCAAAACTAGATTTGAGCTCTCAGTAAAGACATTCTGGGAGTGTAATTCCTTTGAGGTTGGGACCTTGGAAGGAAAACATTCTATATAACAGGAAAAAAGGAGGAAAAGAGGAATTGATAGTGAAGTGTTTTTCATGCCAAGATCCCATATGAATGGCTTCAGTTCCTTTGTGATTTATGAGTCCAATACATCTGCTAAGTGGAGATGGCCTCATTTTGAAGAAAGTGCAGAAGGTTTGAAAAAAAATGTGAGTAGTATAGAAGAGTGGATAAGGAATCAGTGACCTAAGCTCCATAAGGCTTGTTAACTGAAACTAAGCATAGAATAATAACTTGGGGGAATGAATGAGTGAATTATCTCTATTTAGTGCTAGTGTGTATCATGAATTTAGGGTGGTTCTAGTAGATTTATAAGATTTAAATCCAACAGCAATCAGTCACTTATAGGAAGACATTCCTGGAAAAGGTAGAGAGAAAGGGTTTGGCCAGAGAGTAAGGATTAAATGGGGTTGAATTAGGCCCATTTGCAGCAGTGCTAAATGTAGGTTGCCTGAGAGATCTTGAGGCGTACCTTGAAGAGGGAAGAAATAAATTAGTAGATAAATGAGTAAGTGCAAAAAATAAAGACTGGGAGTTGGAAAGCTGACAAATTGAGGGCCTATAATGGAAGGATAGGGGGTGAGGTCAGAGGGAAGAAAGTCAGGCTATGTTACTCCAGTGGCAGAGGTGTTCCTGGACATGGCTGTAAGTGAACTGGAATAGAAGGACCCTAATATGGGTTAAAAGGAACTAAGAGGTAAATTATTGGCAGGTCTCTCCAGATGGATGTTGGTGACTGATTCCTTACCCCTGCAAGTCCCTTGCCCATGGAACCCTGCCACTTTTTGTTCTTCCCAGAGCCTCTGCAGAGTCTACTGTCTGAAACACTAAGCTTTAGATACTGCAAATCAATGGCATAACTCTGGAGTAAAAGAAGTATGGTAGAATGCAGGGGCTTTGGTACATATATCTTTTTCATTTCTATTTTTACATCCAGTATTCATAAATGTCTCTGGGGAAAAAAAAACAATTCAAGAGTACTCTGAGACAATGAAAACCATTATTTTGTATAATTAAAATGCACTAATTAAAAAAAAAGCCTCTGGGAAACTCAACCCATTTTTGAGTCCCAATCTGTGCAAGTGCAGTTGCCTTCCCAACAGACCCCTATTTTAACAATAAATGTGTGCTGAATCTTGGTTAAAAGGAGCATTTTGGGCAGGTCTGTGATAAACCCTCAAATATCTGTGACTCTGGTGCATGGTCCAGGACTCAACTCTGGACTGTGAGCTGCAGGTGATGGAGGGAGATCGACCATGTCTCTAAGAAGCCCATGAAAGTCAAAAATGACGTCTGCATCCTGGAAAGTGAACTGTACACACTAAGGGCAAGATCTTGCATGTTGACACTAAGGTTACCCCCTTAGCCCCACCCGAAAAGAGGTATGCCATGTTTGACAACAGCCACACAACCTCATGTACACTTCTGCCAGTATGACATCAGTAACCACTGTAGCACCTGATGAGCCTCAGGGAAGTGCTGGCAGGATCACACTGGGAAAGAGTAGTTGTTCACAATGTGGAGGTGATGAAGCATAATCCTTTCTTCCACCAGAAAGGTCATTTTTCCCCTCATTTTTTTGTTTTGTTTTGGTGTTACTTTCTCTCTTTTTAAAAATTTTTTAGTTGATGGTGCTGAGAATTAAATCCAGTGCTTCACACATGTGAGGCAAGTACTCTGCCACTGAACCACAACCCCAGCCTCCTCTTTCTTTAAAGCATCTTTATTCTCAGCTTTATCTTACCTGAGAGTAAGGTAACTGCCTGGTTAAAATTCCTATCAACAACAGCTGGCTAACCTTTTGCTTTGCAAAAATACCAAGTCCAGGCAGCAAGGAAAAGTAACCAGCAAGGGGAAACTCTTAAGTGATTTTCCAGTAAGGAACCATTTAAGGAACCACAATGGCAAGTTCAAAGTATGGTTATTTATAAGATATGCCTTATAAAAACTTCTTAAGCAGCACCTACCCTGCTCCTAAACCCTACCCCAATCACCCAGAATCCACTGCAGCAGTACCCCCTAAACATTCTCAAGCAAGTTTCACCCTTCTGTATGAACTCCTGATAACTGACATGTTTGTAAAAAATGACTAAGCCACTCTATTAACCATTCTCAAAATTGTTCCTGTCCTTCTCTCTCTCCCTGTCCTCATTGTAATTGGACACAACACCTTTATTTTTATGTGGTGCTGAGGATCAAACCCAGTGCCTAGAGGTGAGCGCTTTACCGCTGTGCCAAAACACCTAGCCCCTTGACTCTCTCTTTAGATATAGAAGACCTATCTTCCTCACTGCAGGGGAAAGGTGTGGGATGCCATATATAATGCCATTAAAGTTAAGCTAAGGGGTAGGAAGCAGTGCCACCTCCTCAGGTTTCAGCAGGAAGAGGAAAGGTGTTTTTTGAAAACATGATATCCCTTCCTTAATGAGAGGTCCAGGAGATTTGGTCCCCTTTTTAGAAGTCCAGAGAGGCAATCAATAAAAGCTGAACTACTTTTTCCGCTTCCCTAAACACAAGGAGTAGGTTGCCAAAAACCCAAACCCCCAACACAAGAAAATACACCATATTGTTAGAAAATTTATTGGGGAAAATCAGTATTCTCAAAAAGGGATAAATTATTTGGGGGGAAGAAAATTTTCTTTCTGAAAATTCTGGAGAAGCATTTTCTGTTTGAACAATAGGGACAACTCTCCCAACACAGTGCCTTTAGCAAAAGGAGCAGCAGCTGGAGCCACCTGACCAACTCTATATTTGCATGTAGTATTCAGATGGGACAAGGGTTCCTTGTGCGGCATGGATGGGTGATGCTTCTGACATATTATCTTGTCCTGTACTGTACACTTTTCTGGGGCTGTCTGCCCCTGTCCATGACCCATTTATTAGTCCCTATACGATACCACTGACCAGCAAAGCCAATTTCTTGGCTGCAAGATTTGGCACTTGGCAGCTTAGCACAGGGAGTATTGACATTGAAGTCATGTTTCTGGATGGGTTCTGCCTGAACCGGCAATCCAGTCTTGTGCTGAATTTTCCCAGGCCTCATGGGGGTGGAAAGAGGCTTTTGCGGGGCGGTGGCCTCTACTCCATGCTGACCTGCTAGTTTCTCCTCTAGGATCTTCCCAATGTCTGTCATGATTTTCTGAGCTTCAGTATTCCCAGTAAAGGCAGCTCTCTTCTTAGCTGGGTTTCTTCCTTGCACAGATGATGAAGAGCTGCCCTTTTTCAGAGAACCTTCTTGCCCTTTGCCTTTTACACCAAGATAAAGCCTTTGAAAAAAGCGTTTGAACTGGCTTTTAGAAGGCTGTCCCTTCAGTGATGGGGCTGAGGAGGACTTGCTCCCAAGTGCCTCCTTTAGTGGTCTGTCTTGAGGGTGGGGGAGCTTCCCTCTAGGTTGGCATGTCACCAACCCTGCATCCCCTCCACCAAACTTGCCTGTTTGGGGTACCAGAGGGCACACCCTTTTTGATGCTAATGGTACATTGTTATCCTGACACTTGCATAAGACTTGTGTAGGGATCCAGGGTTCTTGCCCCTGCTCTATGTTGATCCCTCGGGCTTGTAGCACCTGGGGAGCTGCCATGTCCCCACTAGAGGCACTATGAAAATGAGTGAAGGAAGTCAAGGTTTTGGAAGCTAAGGTCTTGGAAGCCAGGGTCTTGGAAGTCAACTTATCTAAGGCCAGAGTCAACTCAGTAGAAAAGGCTGGAACCAGGCCCCGCTCCCTGCTCTCAATTTTCATCTTCAACTCATTAAGCAACTGATTTTTAAGATCTAATGATTCGGAATCTTTGAGAACTGATATTCCTTCTGGGGGCCTTTCAATGGTTAGGGTTGAGTCAACTTTACTCATATTTATATCTGTCACTGAGGAGCTTTCTGACTCTGTGGTCGTCAGGCTGTTCGTAGACTGTGATCAAATAGCACAGAGCTCCTTTGCCTTGAATATCTCCCTGGACTTGTTGGACATGGGAAAATATTTTAAATTCTTAATCATTTTTCTCTGAATCTTTTCTGTACTGTCGCTGGGACTCACTCCCTTATTCCATGATTTGGGTCTGGCCCCAGCCTGCTTTGTGGGCAACTTTGGGCTGCATTTATTGGCTATTACAGTCTGTTTCTGACTGTCTTTATCTTTGTCACTGTGTGGGAAGGGCAACGAAGCCCGTCTGTCACCCTCAATTGCCTTGACATTCTCTGTAAGCTCAGGGTTGGTGTGAGAGGGTGAATGTGTTAGGGCCCTCTTATTTTCCTTGCTCACAGGTGAAGTGGCAGAAAGAGGATGATCTAGAGTAGGGCCTGAAATTATTGTTCCCACCTTGTTTACATGAAAAGTACTAATGCTTTCTTTAAGGGGCTTGGAGACCCCAATTTTGGAATACTTGCCAGAAGTAAGACTGGATGAGGAGGAAATGTTGGAGCGAACTGAGGACCAGGATGGGGTTCCTTTCATTTTGAAGATGTCTATGGATTCCTGGACCTTTTGAGGAAGCCCGCACATCATCCTCTTATGGAACAGTTTAATATGGTCTTCCAAGATCTTTTGTTTGTTGGAACCAAGGAAGGATATATCCTGGGAGGTATTGAGGCCCTTGTCCTTACACACCAGTGGTACCAAATCTCTGTGTTTCGTTTGGCTAAGGGATTTCTCAGGACTAATCAATACTGGCTCCATAGAATGCAATGATCTATTCACGGTGCCAGGCATCTGACACACATGGATTTCCTCAAATTTCTTGCTCAAATGTATTTCTAGGGCTTCTGTCAGTTGTTTCTGAACTGAGCTCTCCTCTGAGATCTTTGATTTTTTTCCAAAAAGACTATTCAATTCATTTTTTAGGTTTGTCTTAAAGTCAGAGTCCAGATCATTATCTGGAGCCCCCTCTGAGTCACTCAATGGATCATCTTTTGTGCCAATCTCTAGACTATTTACTTTCTTCATTCTCTCCCCTAGTGGAAGTAATTCTGAGCTCTTCTCATGGAAACTTCTGGGATGGCTCAATTGTAAATCTTTGCTACTTTGACCCTTAAACAAAGAGATCCATGAAAGTCCATAAGTGGACTTTGACTCACATATCTCGGAAATTTCTGTTTCAGGACTCATCCTTGACAGAGACTCATGGACTCTGCGGGGCAGACCCCACCGGTGTTGAATAAGCCTTTTCTGAAGGTGGTGCTCTAGCTTCTCCCGAAGCTCTTTTTTGAGGGGAAAATCTCCCGGAATGATGGTTGTTGGAGCATAAGCCTTGGAGGACCGTCTATCAGATAAAACACTGGGAGCTGCAGGACAAAACTCTTCCTTGGATTTTTGAACCACAGAGGGTAAACCCCACAAACTTTCCTGTCCTTTCTGTAATACATTATATTCCAAGTCATGAATTTTGGATGGCATGAGAGAGTGTACCTCATCCTGGAATCTATGAATCCTCACTCCACCATCACTAACCTGAGATGAAATGGGTGGTGACAAGGTAGGGACCGAGAATTGAAGCTGGTCCTGGGGTGGGACAGGAGATTGGCACTGAAGCTGGTCCTGGGGTGGGACAGGAGATTGGCACAGTGCTTGGGTCAAGGGTTGAGATTGGATCTCAGGCAAGGACAGAGTTGGGGGAGGGGGTAGAACTAGAGATTCAGGGGCTTCAAAGAAAGTGGGCATTGAATTGAAGCAGACATAGGTTGAACAGTCACCTGAGACAGGAACTATAGATTTCAAGGACTCACTATGCAAAGATGGGAGACCCCAGAAGAATTGGGTACATTTTTTAGGTAAGTTATCCTCAAAGGTCTTAGGATCTGAGGACTGGTGGTCTACCTGCAATCCCTCTGATTTGCCTTCACTGCTCTGTGAAGGAAGGGAGACAGGTGAGTCCTGTTGCTCAGCAACTGACTCTAACCTTTTCCCTGAAGAATTCAATTGGTCGTCTGGCTTAAGTTCTTTTGGAAAAGATTTTTTTTTTCCTTTTTCTTTTTGTTCTGCATCAGGAAATCACCCTTCTTTTTTATATGTCTCTCCGGAAGGGCCAAGACATCAGGGCATAGAAATGAGAGGTTTCCGGGCTCTACAAGGATGGCTGTAGTATCACTCTCAAAAGAGGCCTCAGGAGGATGGAGGTCGAGGAGGTTTTTGTCATCATCAGAGTGCTCCAATTTAGATGGAGACAAGTTTTCAGCATGAGACTGGTTTCCAGAGAACTCTGACACTGGAAGGCTTGCACTGTCAGTGCATGTGGTTGTTGGGACATTAGTAGACAACCCATCAGGGCTATCCACCAGAGACAAAGGGGCTTCTGGTTGGAGAACAGGTTTTGCTTCTTGACTGTCAGTTGGTGGGGGAAGGGTTGGAACAGGTGGGGGAGGAGTTGGAACAGATGGTTGAGGTGGGATATGATCCACTGGCAATTTTGAACTCAAGGGAGAAGGCTCTGGTGGCAGAGAGTCACCCAGTAATGAGGGTCCAGGTAGGTCCATTAAAGGGGTAATTTGGTCAGGTGAACGAATAGAGGAAGGAAATAGAGTTGGCTCAGTTAAAGGAGTTGAAACTGAAGCTCTCGGAGGGATTGCAGAGACAACATCGGACAGAAAAACTGATGACTCTCTCACAGACGTCACGGAAGACACATGGGACACAGAATTAAGAGCATCTTCCAAGGACGCCTTACAGATCAGTTGACTGACCTTAGCTGGTGTTCTATTACACCTCCCACAGAGCGGGCATTTACATAACAGTTGCCGAGGAAATCATTATTCTGGCTCATGAGACTGTAAGAGAAAGAAAGCCAAAGCTGTAACCAGAACCACTACAAGGGAAGCAAGATCTGCAGTTCTATGGGTGGTGGGGAGCCCGCTACCTGCTCTACATTCCACACATCTATGACCTCACAATACCCTCCCCTCCCAAGTTCTTTATTCACATACCCATGGCTATGGCTATCCCTCCTGTGACTAGGGCATGTTGCGAAGAATTCCTGGGGGACTGAATAAAGCATGCTAGGAAAGGAATCAGTAAAGGGAAATGACTAATCACCTTTTCAGAATAGAAGGCAGCTTCCTCCCCTCCTCTACTTCTCTCCGGCAAGTTCTCCAACCTGGAAAACCAGGACAGTTGGTTATATATAGTAAAGGTAAAAACACAGGTTATCATTCAGGAGTTTTTACAGGAAACAGGATATTAAAGTCAGAAAGCCCTAAAAATCTGCAGATAAGGTCATAAGTGTCAGGGATAATAGTAAGAAGGTTCACAGGTATATGTGGTTCCATTTAGAAAGTACTTTCACCTGTACCATCCTACATGCTGCTCAAAACCACCACCTGAAGCACAAGGATCAGTAGCTAACTCAGGATGAATCTAATCAGCCAAGAATTAAAGTAGTTTACACCATGTCACCAGACAGAAATTCTGACTCCAAGGCAATCAGGGGTCTTTGGACATCTCACAGGGCCACCTACTCGGCAGTAAATGTCCAAGGCCCAGGTCCATCACTACTTCATTCACACCCAAGGAAGGGTGGGCAGGGCAGGGACTCTGAGGAATCTCTCAGGTCTCACTGCCTTCTCCTGAGCCTCTCCTCTGAGACCCTGTTTCCTGAGAGAGACTGCACCTAGAAACTGACATCCTCCAAGATCATGGAGCTGTAGGGAGATAGGAAAGTTCACCCTTATAGAGCTCAGGTGGAACAGGCAGAACCTTACCTTTAGATACTCCATTTCTCCTTCTCTTTGTTCCCTGACGCTGAAAACAAAAAGAAAAGAATGAGGGGCTGGGGCTCATTTCTTTTACTCCTTTTGTTAACAAGCTTAGACATTCATTAGGCAAGAATTGGACAACTCTTCATTTTTAATTAGTAGAAATTGTATTCCTTCCTTTTATTAATCTTGAAGGGCAATGAAATATTTTCAATTTTTTACTTCTTTGATAATTTCAAAGGACATTTTTGTCTGTGAGATTCCACATTTGATGGTCTTAAACCCTCTGCGGAAGAAGGGCATAGAATCTGAGGCCAACAGTCACGTCTGGGCTCCCCTGGGGAACCCTGTGTCCTGAGGCAGAGCTCAGGCTACAGGCTCTACTCCGAGGTCAGCACTGCTGTCCTGATCAGCCCAATATGAAGGCTGGGTGAAGCACATCTGACATGGGAATGAGACTCAGAATCTAGTCAGAAGAGACCCGTCTCCTTCAGAGAAGCCACACTCTCTATCCAAACCAATCTGGAACCCTCCATCACACCCCAAAAGATAGTCTGTGAGCTTCAGATGGAAACCTTAGTCCTTCCTGAACCTCTGACTTCTTTCCCTAAAGAGTGAAGTTCTATCTTGTCCTCAGACTTCCCAAGTCACATCTTCTTTGAGCCAACCAAACATTTAGTAATGTGAGAATGGAAATAACAAATCACATTTGACATTTCACAAAACATTTCACATTTGACAAAATCAAGAAACTCCCTTGGGAGTTCACTCTGCTTCCTTACCTTCTTCTGGATGGCTTTATTTTTCTCGAGTGTTGGTGAAAATCGTTTCAATACCTGAAAGGACAGGTATAGAAAAAGCAACACCAACCCACTCAAAATGGTACTTTTGGGATCAATATCCCAAAGAATTGAACCAAGATCAACCATGGTTCAGTATGGCTATTCAGCAAAGAGAGAACACTCTTCATCATCTGAATTGCTCGGTTGCCTAAGGCAAATGAGTTCTGAGGGTGCCTGGGCTTCTCTATATCTCCAGGCTTGCATCACACACCATTGAAGAGTCACAAAGGGAAAGGATTCTGAGGGCGGGGAGAGAAGACTTGAGGAGGTTGTGCCCCTCCTCCACCTCCCCACCAGCCAGCAGATCCCTCTGCTCAGGTCTGTTGTTCCATTTCCCACTCGACTCTTTCCTCATATCATGCCTTCATTATCTCAGGGAGCATTCCTGTTTGTTTCATGTGTAACCAAGATGTTTTACATGAGTCCCTTTTTACTGTTTGGATCCCTTGACTTACACCCCACCAATTCCACTTCCTTGAAAATCTGACATACACTGCCTGGAATTTTTGCTTGTACCAAGACATTTACACTCTTGGGTCACCTACATCCTTAAATCTATCTTATCTACAGAAAGCTTTTGCTTTACTCTAACTCACATGTAAAACTTAACGTTCTTTCATACTTATGTAGTTTTATAAGTTTCAATAGCAAATTTTTGTTTCAATCAGCCTGTAGTGTCTTCAATCACAGTGGCTCACTCTCATTAAAACTAATAATTTGTTAGTCAACACTGTGAAACAAAAATAAACATAAAAAAATCTAAATAAAATTAAAACTTCAAGTGATCTTGGAAATAAGTTTATAACGCTTGTTTTTTTCTGAAGTAGTGAAGATTAAACATAACAAAGACTATTGGATGTGCTCTATTTCCCGCCCCCTGACAAATTGATCCAGTGTTTTCAAATCTGATAATCAACCATCTTCTCATTTTTTTTCAATTCTTCATTCATTATTTTGATCTAACTTGCTTCTAGCTACCTGAAATTCAAATATTCCCTGCCTCCATATCAATTTCATAATGCTTATATGACTTTCTCAAACCAGGAAGAGCTTATGGTGTGCTAAGGAATTGAACCCTCAGTCCTTGGTGGCAGGGAGCCACCTAAAATGTCAGAACCTTAGGGCAGATTCTAGTCTTGAAAAGCATTACCCTTGTGGGACACATAATTTTGATATTTTCCTAAGAAAATAAGAGTGTCTTGCCATGAAAAAAGCTATTAAGATCTGTGCTATATAAGCACCCTACTACTAATGGAAAATCAACTGCCTATCATACATGATTCAAGCAAAACTTTTGATATTTAAATAGCCCCAATATTGCCCCAGCCTTCTTCTTACACCTGCTTTTTAAAACCCTTTATCATCATGACAGTTATCCTCCTAACTGTCCCCTAACTTGTCATGTCTTTTTTAAACCCTGAAACCTCTTATCTGATGCCCATAACCCAGCAGCATTATTGATCTCTTTGACAGGATAAGGCAGCCTCCAAGCCAAGCAGTCTCTATTCAGTTAGGCAGGGGCAGGTACCCTGCCTTGAAGATCCCCCATCCTTTTGATATGCAGCCTCAGTCAGGTTTCCATTTAACAAATATTTACTAGTGAAGACTAGGAGACATGGACAGCTATAAGTCACAGGCTCTGCCCTTATCCTTAAGGAGCTCATGTTGAGACTGTAGAGATAAGTCCTACACAGTTGGAAAGCTGTACAAAGGCAGAAGAAAGGTCCAGAACCCCTTAGCATTTGTTAATTCCCAAGAGATTTGTGGAGTAGATCAGAGACTGTGGGTGTTAACAGCTAGAACACATCATGCTCTGTACCAAGGCTTCCCTGCCTGTCTCCCCAGTTTTCTGAAACAAAATCACAATCCTTTGGGAAGATAAAGAAAATCTTTTCTC